TGGGAATGATATTAACAGCGCACCTTCTCGAGGACTCGTCCCTGGATGCTCCGATCTATTGGTTGGGGAGCAGCAGCTGCTGGAAACCAAGTCCAGTCCTCTTGTACAATCCCTCGAACCCCTCTACCGCAGGGCCATTACCAGATTTTTTGGCTTTAAGGTTTAAAGTTTAAAGATCCCCGAACACAAAGAACATGTTCTTAAAATGACACACACACACTTGCCCCTTCGGCCTCCTGACGGTGGTCCCCACATGGACAAAAGCGTTGCTGGCTGGGCGCTGTTGTCACCCTTGGCATCTTCTCAGCCACTGCTGCCGCTCCACAGCGGATCCACCGGCGAAAGCTGGTGGGGTGGAAAGAGGTCTGGAAACACTCCGAACGGGGCTGCGACGGTACTGCTGGGCTAATCTTTTTTATTATTTTTGAATTTTTTGTTTTTACTGCTGGGCTGACTTTGGGCCAGGCCAGGGGCCAAGTCCCACTAGCAGCGTTGAGCTACCTCAACGCCTGAATCTGGACATGTTTGTGGAGACGTGCAGTTCAGGAAACTCGACACCGTTTCTGCAAATCTCCGCAAAAGCGTCCACATTCACGCGTTGAGGTAGCTCAACGCTGCTAGTGGGACTCGGCCCCAGGCAAATTTGAGATTTAAAGTGGAGGCAATCTGAAGAATTTTGGGGCTTGGGGCTGTCAGACTACGATGGCGGGCGGTGCACCGCCAGCCGAAAAAGGGAAGACTGTGCACCGCTGCCGGCTCAGCAAAGCTCGGCACGCGGCGTTGGATCTGGCACGGCAAAACGATGCCCAGATATGTACTTGCCCTTCACCGCGCCGGCGGGCTTTCACTTTCAGGGATGTATTTTTTTTAAAGGGGTCCTGGCGATGGCCGACTGAATTTGAACGCGGTCAGAGGCCTTGGTTAAAATTTGAATGGGCTCAGAGACCCCAGTAAAAAAAATTGAATGCACTCAGAGGCCCCGGTGAAAATTTGATTGTGCTCAGAGGCCTCAGTTAAATTTGCCCGGTAGAGTTCCGAGGAAGTCCCATTTACTGGTCAGTGGCTCGGTGGTTAAATAATTTTCCAGATAGGTTAAGTATGGAAGGTGAACTTCATGTCCCTTTTTTTTTTGTTTTTGTTTTTTTTTTGTTTTGTTTTGTTTTGTTTTGTTTTGCGTTGTTTTGTTTTGTTTTGTTTTGTTTTTGAAGTGAACATGATGTCTTGTTTGATGAAGAGGAGTCTATATGCTTGTCGAGCGCACCAGCACGG